CGTGCTGTCCACATTCTGTGCATTCAGTCTCTGATGGGATCAGATGTTTGGGGAACCCATTGAGAGACTTGGCGTCTCTACTTCTGGTGATAAGACTGTCAGGAAGATCAGCAGGTATTTTCTTGTGGTAAATCAAATACTTGATTATCCTCTCTGCTGCATCATCAGTAATGGAACCACTTTCCTCCTGACATTCTGATACTGTTGTCCCACACATAACATCCTCCTCTGAATGTACTGCTGCTTTGAACATGTCTGGCATTTTTTCAAAAAGATGCCACTTTGCCGTAGCCTTGTGCGTACAGGACCTTTTGCCCTCTGTACATGCACAATGCCAGGTATTTTTTCCTTTGTCGTAAGTGACAATCACCCTTCCAAGTCTGCTGAAAAATGCCATTTTTGGTTCAAAGATAGACACGTGAAAAGTTGTGTCTGTCCCACTGCCAAAAAGAAGAACTGAAAACGGCGTATTACTTGATAGCGCCTCTTGCTGATTTTTTAAAAGTTCTTCTTTTCTTTTAACACTGAACCATAAGTTGTCAACCAGGATGTTGAGGGTAGTTTCAGACAGAGGTCCTTCTGAGTCTGTGGCGCGTGGACAAAAGCGTAATGATTGAATGTGTTCACACTCAAAAGGCAAAATCCCACTTCGCTTGGCAAATTGTGCATTCACATTACACCTGTCAAGCTCACACTCTGATCTGTGAAATTGTGACCAGGTGTTTTTGATTACATGTATAGGTTTTGATGGACCACAAAAGGATTTCTGAACAGCAAAAACACCTTTTTTTGCATCCACACACTGACTCCTTAAATGATGATTTTGTGAAATCAGCTCCACTTTTTCATGGTGTTTTCTTTTCAAATGAATACGAAGATTCTTTTTTCTCAGGCGCAGATTGCACATTTCACATGTAATCATATCTTCTGAGCGGACAGGCGCCTGTGTAGCCTGGATGTCTGTAGCTGCTGGACGGACAGGCGCCTGTGTAGCCTGGATGTCTGTAGCTGCTGGACGGACAGGCGCCTGTGTAGCCTGGATGTCTGTAGCTGGTAGGTGGACAGGTGGCTGGGCTGCTGCACAGCTGGACACCATGTGAAAAGTCATTCTGTGATTAACCAAATGATTAACAAACCTGTCCCTTCTGTCAATGGTGGAAAAACAGTAAGGACAATGGAAGTGAGTGGTGTCTCTACATGGTAGGCCACATCTGAAGATATGGAATTCTGCAGTAACAAAAAGAAATGAGTAAAATTTTAAAAAAGCATTTATATACATTGCAGATATGTTTAAACAAGATGTGATTCATTATCCCTCAGAACAGGGAGAATGAATCCCTGTTTTTCTTAGTAGCCTCATAGCTACTACAATAAAAGTAGTAGCTATTAAATACACAATTGATTGGTAGAAAAAAAGCCATGTTTGAATTAATCACTGTACATTCCTTAACATTGTTACTGTTTTGTAGGATTTAACAATTAATGGCTTCCAGATAACAAATATATATTCTGCAAAAAATGAATTTAAATTTTAGAAGTGATATTGCTCAAACAGCCATGGGCAGAGATTAACTAATCAGATTAACTCAATTACTCTGTAATTTTGACAAAAAAATAAATAATTAGGACCATTTTTCAAAATGTTATACTCTTACATGCAACATAATGTGAGTAACTTCACTGAATGAAGAACACATTTTAATACACAAAAAATTTAAACACGATACACAGATAAAAGTTGTTTATGTTAGGTTTCCTCTAACCTTAATTTGTTGTCTTGTATTAAAATGTTTCCTTTTTGGTTTTAAAATACCTAACAGTGCACATAACTTCATTTTTATTAATGTCTGCTTAAATAAATGGGTAATATTACATTGCACGTTATAATCAGTAAAACAGTACTTAATAATAGCCATTTCACAAAATACTTTGTTACTTTTAAATGTGTAGTTTGCTGCACAGTTACTAAAAATACATTGAAATACATTGAAAATACCCAGAGATGTACTCATCTCTGGGTACTACAACCCCTGGCAAAAAGTATGGAATCACC